GCAGATGGAAGCACTGTGTGTGTGTGTGCGCGCGCGCATGCTTCTCAAACAAAAAAGAGTCATTCTATAGAAGTTCTGAAAGAATGGTCTCTACTCTTGAGAACTACATAGTCTTAGAGCCCAAGACTAAAATATACAAACACTAGGGAAATGCACTCAGTGGTTACTGAGTGCTTGCTATGCAAGGTACTGAGTAGACATTGTGACAGTAACTGACATGGATCAAGGGTTTACCTTGCAGCCAGCCCACTTTACAGTTGTATCTTATCTAACCCTCACAACAGGACTATTAAGTAGTAATATCAGAATCTCATTTTACAGATAAGTAAATTGCCACTAAAGCAATCAGTGTTAAACAGCTTGCCTAAGGTCACACTGCTAGCAAGTCAGAGCTGAGTTTTTCCTGGGTCTCTCCCAATTTCAAAGCCAGACTTCTTACCAATGGCTCCCCAGCAGTGGACAGCATTTTCATGTAAACCTGACACAAAGAAAACAAGCATTGGCATTTTCCCTTGACATAAATGTAGTCAAATATGGAAACTAAAATTTGAGTACACCAATCACCACGACGTCTGCTTATAGAGGCTAACACAGGCTGTGTGGTAGAGGCATTTTGCGCCATCAGAGTCCAAAAAAGAAAAAGACCACCCATTATGGACCTTCTCCATTCTAGACTTGGCCTTTGTGTGGTCCTGGAATGAAGTCAGAGATACCAACCAGCTCCACTGAGAGAGTCTGAGGGCCTATACAACACCATAAAAGGCCAGCTCAAGGGAATCAAAAAACGTATGAGCTTCCATACTGTATGTGGGCCTTCCATGTTGTAACACTCAACACAATCCCCTCCCAGTTCAGCCAACCTGCCTGTCGCCATATCAACAATCCCATGATAATCAACAAGCCTATTTTCAAGAGGCAAAAGCAGCAATAATTTACAAACCATCTGAATATGGCAATCAATTTCACAGAATACCAAGATGCATTGTCTCACAAACCCAGATGAACAACAGAACAGCATATTTAAAACCAAGACTGTCCTCAAAAACGAGAAGCTCATGGGGCTATGCAATGTCACGATGCCTGGGCACTGGCACACACACCACTTGCTTCCCTTGGAAGTGAAGCATGGCTCCTAAGGCTTTGAGAAAATAAACGCTGGTGGCTGGCATTGTTCTCAGAGTGGTTGGCCGGTGAGACATGTAACCCAAATACCCGAGGGCTACCATGTATGCCAAAGATGGCAGAGGAGGAGCCGACATTTCACACTGAGTGTGAATCCTGAGTTACCTCACTTGTGCAAAAGCAGGCATCCTGAGGCCTCAGTGCGCAGACCCGTGCAACCTTAGTCCCAGTCTACCTTTCCAGCTGCTCCACCCCATTCTTCCCCCTCTGACTCAGACTACTGCCAGGCCTGGGCTCCTACAGGCACTTAATAAATATTTGTTCAACGAATGAATGAAATTATATTTATCTCCTGAGATTCTTTTAAAAAAATTTTATTTCAGAATAGTTTTTAATTTATGAAACAAAAATTGTTTAGTAGTAAGACAATGTCAAATACCCCTCACTCTACTTTTCCAATTGTTAACATCTTTTGGGACTAGCACTGTGGCATAGTGGGCAAAGCCACCCCCTGCAGTGGCCGGCATCTCACATGGGCACTGGTTCTGCTCCACTTCCAATCCAGCTCCCCAGTGTGCCTGGGAAAGCAGTGGAAGATGGCCCAAGGCCCTGCACCTACATGGGAGACCAGGAAGAAGCTCCAGGCTCCTGGCTTTGGATTGGCCCAGCTCAGGTACTTGCAACCAATTTGGAAATGAACCAACAAACGGAAGATCTCTCTCTGCCTCTCTATAACTGTGCCTTTCAAATAAATAAATATTTTTTAAAAAAATCTTGGCCGGCGCCGTGGCTCAATAGGCTAATCCTCCACCTTGCGGCGCCGGCACACCGGGTTCTAGTCCCGGTTTGGGCGCCGGATTCTGTCCCGGTTGCCCCTCTTCCAGGCCAGCTCTCTGCTATGGCCAGGGAGTGCAGTGGAGGATGGCCCAGGTGCTTGGGCCCTGCACCCCATGGGAGACCAGGAAAAGCACCTGGCTCCTGGCTCCTGCCAGGATCAGCGCGGTGCGCCGGCTGCAGCGGCGGCCATTGGAGGGTGAACCAACGGCAAAGGAAGACCTTTCTCTCTCTGTCTCTCTCTCTCACTGTCCACTCTGCCTGTCAAAAATAAAAAAAAAAAAAAAAAAAAAAAAAAAATCTCATATATTTGTTGCAATTAATGAGCCACTCCCAATTTCTCCTTTTTTTTTTTTTTATCCAAACTCCTTTTATCCCTTCCAACTTCTAGTAACCAACATGCTTGTTCAGATTGAGTTATCTCATGACATTCTTCCTTCTTGCTAACCTACAGCTCTCAGGCTGCAGTTTTTCTCGATTATATAGTCATTCAACAATTAGCTATTGAGCACCTGCATCTGCACAGTGCCAGTTGCCCAGTGAGCAAACAGCCAGTTTGCTCCCCCTGGGGCCTCAGTGGGAAGAGCCTGTGTGCCTGGAGACCCTTCTTCTCTTGAATCATTCTGTCTCCCCCAGTTGGTGAGTGCCTCGGGATGAAGGACCATGAGTTACCACTCACCTTTGGAGCTGCAGTGCCTGGCCCACTGCCCAGTGTAAGCAGATTTGATAAACACTTGCTGAATAGACAAATGAATGCAAGCGATTAAGCCCTTACAAGGAACCCAGAAAACAGAAAATGTCAAGAAGTCTACTAGTTTTACTCAGGACATCCTCAACTTTAAAAAAGATATTTTCAAGGCCAACGCTGTGGCACAGGTTAATCCTCTGCCTATAGGGCTGGCATCCCATATGGGCACTGGTTCTAGTCCCGGCTGCCCCTCTTCCAACCTAGCTCTCTGCTGTGGCCTGGGAAAGCAGTAGAAGATGGCCCAAGTGCTTGGACCCCTGCACCCATGTAGGAGACCAGGAAAAGGCTCCTGGCTCCTGGATCCGAATCGGTGCAGCTCTGGCTGTTGCAGCCATTTGGGGAGTGAACCAGCAGATGGAAGACCTTTGTCTGTCTCTCCCTCTCACTGTCTTTAACTCTACCTCTCAAATAAATAAAATCTTAAAAAAAAAAAAAAGATATTTTCAGAGCCAACGTTGTGGCGCAATAGGTTAATCCTCCACCTGCAGTGCCAGCATCCCTTATGGGCACCAGTTCATGCCTCAGCTGCTCCTCTTCCAATCTAGCTCGCTGCTGGGGCCTGGGAAAATAGTAGAAGATGGTCCAAGTGCTTGGGCCCCTGCACCCATGTGGGAGACCCAGAAGAAGCTCCTGGATTTGGATCGGCTCAGCTCCATCCGTTGCAGTCTTCTGGAGAATGAACCAGTGGTTGGAAGACTTCTGTCTCTCCCTCTCACAGTATGTAACTCTACCTCTAAAATACATAAAAAATCTTTTTTCAAAATATATTTTCATCTTTATGCAATTTGGATTTCATTCACGAGCCTCTACTTAACTCCTTGGGATTAAAGGACTATTATCTGTGGGATTTTCATCACCTTTTCTTTCCAAATTTACTTATTTAAGTTTGCAGGAAAAAAAAATCCATGCATTTACAATGCAATACATTGTGGAATGGTTAAATACGGCTAATTAAAATATGTATTATCAATTATAGTTTTCTTTTTTATGGTAAGAGCATTGAATATCCACTCATTTTTAAAACATTAAACATTTTTTAAAAGATTACTTTTATTTGAAAGGCAGAGAGAGAAAGAGAGAATATCTTCCAATCTGCTGGTTCACTCCCCAAATGGCTGCATCAGCAGGCAAAAGCCAGGAGCTAGAACTCCATCCAGATCTCCCCCATGGGTGGCAGCATTTGAGTCCTCACCCACTGCCCTCCCAGGCACACTGTCAGGGAGCTAAATCTGTAACGGAGCAGCGGGACTTAAACCCAGAATGAGATGGTGACATTACAGGTGGCGGCTTAACTGGCTACACCACAGTGCTGGCCCCAGCATTTTTCAACAATAAAACATCTCTCATTAACTGCAGCACCATGTGGTACAGCAGTTCTCTGGAACTCATCCCTTTCAAACTGTAACTGTACATATTTGGCCAACCTCGATTTGATGTCACAGGAATCCATCCTAAATCCACTGAGGCAAGAGGGCATTTTATCTGCCCACAACTGTCAAACCTGGGGGTGCAGTGTCCCAGGGCACAAACCACGTCACTAGGGACCTCTCTCTTAGGTTCCCAGCTCGGTTGGCCTCAGCGTGGCTTCACTCTCAACCAGTCCTTGTCCGTCAGCAGCTCCAGGACCGCAGCAATCCAAGCAGCAGCCACATATGATGCCAGGGAAGATTCTGAGGGCCTGATCCACCGTCTCCTGCCGGCCCATTTTGGCTGGTGATGAGGGTATTTGGTTTGTCCACCCGAGTGGACAACAAGCCGACCCCAAGGCAGTCAGCAGGGGACCACTATGTCCTGCCCTGGCCAGGGACACCTGGACCTGCCAAGGAGCTGCCCTGGGGAAGCAGCAGGGGACACAGGGGTTTCTTCTTCCCATCCTCCTGCTCCACCTCCTTCACCTAACACGACAAACTCCTTGGACACACGATGGTGCCACAGATCTAAACACAGCGAATGTTCCCAAGGCAGGAAGAAAACCCGAGGGTTCAGCCCCAGCTTTATCTGTCTCTTTTATCAGAAAAGTAAAAACTTCTCCAGAAACAGAACTGGCCAGCATGGGGGTCACACAGCTATGCCCTGGCTGCAAGAGTGGCTAGAAAACCTAACCGGAAGAATGGGAGAAAATGTCATGACTCTGACCAACTCTGATCTCCCACTCCCATCGTCCCTGGGGGTGGGCTAGTCTTGCTCTGAGCCCCATACTATCCTGAGCCCCAGCCCCCCACCCTCCACGGCTAGGGCCACACACAGCACAGCCCCCACCCTCTGCAGGGACTACTACATCTGTCCTGTAATGTCTCCAGTGCTTAACGTACTGCTGGGCTTCATTCCACCAATGTCGTCTGCGTGACTACCATGTCCCAGACTCTGAAATAAGCTCTCTGAACATTTCCTGGATGGATGGGTAGATAGATGGATGATGGATATTATTGCTGTCCAATGGACGGCTCCACCCGGTGCAGTGGGAGTCCCCAGTCCTCCTCCCCTCACCCCCTCTCACCGGGCTGTCATTTCACTTTGCTAAAAGCCTCTGTTCCCGTGGAGCCATTTAGACCGGTCCCTCTCTGTGCTCAGACCACGGCTAGCACTTTCCTTTTCTCCCTCCACTCCGCATCCAGCGGACTCTAGAATCAAGGCCAGCAAACTGGGTGTGAACGGAAGGAGCGGCTCATTACTTGCCATTATTTACCTCTGAGTGTATGCACTCCCATTCCTTCCCATATTCATTTGCTCTCTCGCTCTCTCTCCTCGGGATCTGGTTCAGCCGCAGTTGATGCTCATCTGCATCTAGCCCTAGAGAACCTGCAGGACTCTGGGGAGGAGGAAGAGGGGGTGGGGGCGACAAGAGAAGGCGGCAGCCGCAGCGGCGGGCCGAGGTGCGGCAGCCACACGATCCCGGGCCCACGCCGCGCCGCCCAGGAAGCCCATGCCCGGCCCGTGCCGCCTGGGGCTTGCCCATGAAGCCTCTGCCGAGCCGGAGGAGGAAAACCCAAGGCTTCTCGCTGGGACTCTTCGCCCTCTGCCTGGCCACGGCCCGCTCTCTGCAAAGTAAGTACGGGGTTTGGGGAGGGCAGCGCCGGCGCATTCAGGGGGTCGCGCGACTGCGGGAGGAGACCTTGTCTGGTGGGGGGGGCGAGGTGAGCCCCGGCAGGCAGGCCCCGCACCACCCTTTGCTGTAGGGGCTGGGCGCAGCCACGAGCCCGGGCGCCGACTGCGGCCCAGTGCGGCCACTGCAGAGCTGAGGCGACCTGGCCCCGGTGCCACAACGGGGTGTGCGCCCCGCAGGCGAGCACGGGAGGCGGTTATCAGAGCCGGAAGCCCGTCCGGAGATAACCGGCTTCCCGCCCGTGGCCTCCACGATCTGATCTGGGGGATTTCCTGGAACATCCAGACTGCAGCCCCCGGAGGGCGCACGGAGCCCGCCCCCTACCGTGGGGACGCCACTGCCCTTCCGTGCACCTCCAGGTCATCTGGGCTCCGCAGGCCAATTGAACCCCCAGCAGCTTGCTTCTGAAGAAAGGGGGTTGGGCAATGGGGCCTGAGTTCCTCAGGCCAGAGTTGGTTCTCACCTCTCTGTACCGTGTGTACCGCTTGGGAGCCAGGCAAGGGTGGGGCTGGCTCTGGACCCTCTTGCCAGAGGGGTGAATGTCCCAGCAGCTCTCAACCTGCACACAACAGAGTGCAAAGCCATCTGTAATCATCATCATTATCATTCCCATTTCGTGGATTAGTCAACTGAGCTTTAGACAGAGCCCCAGGCAGGGCAGCCGGAGCAGTAAGGACCACAGGTCCTTTTGTATTCACCATTCTTGGATTTTAAAAGACTCCTGCCCCAGGGCAACCCTAGGAAATAAAGTGCTACTCCTTTTTCTTTCTAATCTTGATATTTGTGCATTTTACATTTGTTAGGGAGTTATCTATCTTATTACTTACTTGAGAGAACTCCCACCTGCTGGTTTTCCAAATGCCTGCCACAGCTGGGAAGCCAGGAGCTTGGAACTCCATCTGGGTCACCCACAGAGGCAGCAGTGACCCAAGCATTTGAGCCACACACACACACACACACCCCACCCCGCTGTCTCCCAGGGTGCACATTAGCTGGAATCAGGAGCAGAGCTGAGACTCAAACCCAGAACTCTGACCAATATGGGATTTGGGGATCTTCACAGCTAAGCCGAACACCACCCCATAACTGCTGCTGCCATCCCTGTTTCACAAATAACAAAGCTAGACACAGAAGGATTGTTACTCCCGTGGGGGACGGCCAGTCAACGGAGAAACCAGATTCAAACGGGGCAACCTGGCACTCTTGGCTTTATATACCTCCGGGTAGAGCTCGGCTTTGGAGGTTGCAAGTCTCAGAATCCCAGTAATGAGATGGAGCATGTTCCTCTGGTGGCCATGGAGCAAGAAATAGTTGTGAGTCTTGCAAGGTGTGCGGTGTCTTTGCTATTGCACTGACCTCTTCTACAGTTGTCCAAACCCCAAGTACATCATTCGTAACACAGGTGTCCAGAGGACAGTGATGTCCAGGGGCCAGCCATTCCCTTAGCGTATAATTCTTCAGGCGCTCACTCCTTCACTGCATCCCTCCTTGCAGGAAGCAGGCCGCAGTGGATATGGGGGATACCGTGGTGCACAGTATTGGACTCAGGAAGTTTAGCATCTCAGGGAGAAGACAGGCATATGAGCAAGGGTGCCAGCCTTGGCATGGCAAACCTGGACAGGGAGGAGGTGCCACGTGCTGGGAGTCCTTGAGATTCAGCACCCGGATCTGGGAAGCCAGAGCAAACGTCCCAAAGGATGTTGCACCTACTGAGAACCAATGGACAGAAAACAGTCAGGAAATGGGACAAGAGGAGTGCGGAGTGTCCCAGACTGAGGACAGCCCGCACAAAAACCTAGGGGGCAGGTAAAAGTTTGCAATTATTCATTGGCTGTCTGCTACACATCACGTGTGACCCAGGAGGGCAAACACTCTTGCGGCTCTGGGTCCTCACACTTGCCCAGTGCTAGGCAGGGCCTACCCCTTAAAAGAATTAAGAATTGCACCTGCCTGAATGGGGCTCTGCTTTAGGGCCAGCCCTAGTGATGCAGAGTGGGCCTCTCTCCTCACACCAGCTCCTGCATTCTCTGCCTCTTCAGCCTCTCTCAAAAGCTCCTAACCAAAAAGCACAACGTTCTTCAAATACACTGAAGTTTGTGTTGAAGCAAGCCCACACACACAAGCACCCTGTGCTTGAAGCCTTTCCTTTATATGTGACGCTGGTATGAACTCAGTGTTCGTATACCCCCAATTCCTAGGTTGAAGCCCCAACTTCCCATGTGACAGTGTTTGGAGGTGGGGCCTTGGGTGGGTAATTAGGCTTAGATGAGGTCATAAAGGTAGGCCCCATGATGGGATTAGCATCCTTCTGAAGAGGAAGAGAGAGCGCTTCTCTCTACCTCCACACAGAGAAAAGGCAGCATTAGCAAGCCAGGAAGGGAGCCCTCACCAAAAACTGAACCTGCAGGCACGGTTGCCTTAGACTTTCCAGCATCCAGAACTGTGAGAAATAAATGTCTGTTGTTGAAGCCATGCAGCCTAGGAGATTTTGTTATAGCAACCAACCAAGAAAGAAATGGGGCCAATGCTGTGGCATGGAGGGGTTAAGTCCATATGGGCGCTGGTTCAAGTCCCCACTGTTCCAATTCCAGTCCAGCGTCCTGCTAATGTGCCTGGGAAAACAGCGGAAGATAGCCCAAGTGCTTAGAAGATTTGCAAGAAGCTCCCACCTTTGGACTAACCCAGCCCTGGCCAATGAGGCCATTTGGGAAGTGAACCAATAGATGGAAGGGGTGTGTGTGTGTGTGTGTGTGTGTGAGAGAGAGAGAGAGAGAGAGAGAGAGAGAGAGAGACTAACCCCCTCTCTAATTCTGCCTTTCAAATAATCTAAAAAAAAATTGATACTGAGAAATGGAATACTAACATAAATATGTAAAAACATGGAAGTGGCTTTGGAACCAGGTAATTGGTAGAGGCTAGAGGAGTTTAGGAGTATAGTCTAGAATTGTGGGTGCTAAAGGAAATTCTGATGAGCTGTCACACAGAAATGGGGAACATGTCATTGAATAGAGAAAAAGTGATGCTTGTTTTAACATGGTAAAGAACCTGAATGAATTATGTTTGTGTCCCAATGCTTTGTGGAAAGTAGAACATAGAAGTGATAGAATTGGATATTTAGCAGAAGAGATTTCTAAGCAAAGTGTTGAAGGAAGAGCTTGGTTTCCCCTGACTTTTTATAGAATTCAAGAAATGAGAAATACATTGATCAAAGAATTGTTAAGCAAAAAGGAACCAGAACTTAAAGATTTGAAAAATTCTCAACCTGTCTATATTGCAGAAAGTGAAAAGGCGTGTTCAGAAGAGAACAGCAAGGCGTGGCCAAACAGCCATTTGATAAGATTAATGTAGGTGTGAACCTAGGCCCTGGCCAGCCACCCCTGCAGAAACACTGCCAGCTTGAACTTTAGGGATCAGAAACAGGACTGAATGAAGGAAGACTGGCAGACTCTGAACACCCTACAGGATCGGACCAGGCAGGTGCTCAGCTGCGAACACGATGCACTGTTCAAGAAGGAGGGAATAAGCAGCGGGATTCAGAGATCATCAAGGCTGCTTGCTCAGTTCCAACAGCCCAGACAGTGGCCTCCCAGAGCCTCAGTGGGGACAGGGCCTCCTGAGAGCGCTCCGGGGGCATGGCCCCTGCTGCACCGTGTTCTGAAGGCCGGACATCAAATCAAAGAGGATTATTCTCAAGTAGTAGCATTCTGATCTAACAGTATTCCTCACACCTTGTTTTGGACTTGCTTGGGACCCATTGCCCTTTACTGCATTCCGATTTCTCCCCTTTGGAATGAGAATGTCTACCCTGTCCCACCATTGTATTTTGGAAGCACATAGCTCACATACTGTTACATGTTACTCCACAATGGGGATGTATTCTGAAAAATGCATCACTAGGCGATTTTGTCATGGTTTGATTGTACTTACAGAAACTGAGATGCCTACAATGTCACAAGGTAATGTAATCTTATGGGACGCCCATTGTGTACGCCGTCTCTCCTTTGACCTAAGTGTCATGATGTGGTGCATGAGGGTAGTTTCACGTTTTCACAACTGGAGACAAATTTGGTGAAGGATTGAGTTGCACCTGTTCTCTCAGGTACAAGTTTATGCTTTTGCACAGATGCTGAAATGAGTTAAAATTTGAGGGCTGACAGGATGGAATGAATGTTTTTTGCATGAGAGAAGGTTACAGATTTGGCGACCAAGCACAGAACAGTGTGGACTGAAAGTTTGTATCCTCACAAAATGTGTATATTGAAGCCCTGATCCCCAGTGTGATGGTATTGGGAGGTGGTGCCTTTGGGAGGGAATTATGTTTAGAAGAGGTCATGAAGTGGGATTCCAGCAATGAGATTAGTGTCCCTTAGAAGAAGGGAGAAGGACCAGAGCTTAGTCTCCCTTTACCACGTGAGGACACAGGAAAAATGGGGTAGTATGCAGGCTAGGAAGAGAGCCCTCACCAAGAACCCAGTCTCCAGCACCTGGACGTTGGACTGTCTGTCTCCTTAGAAAGCTGGCAGATATCCTGCAGCTGGCCAGCAGGCAAGGGCTCGCTTCTTCCTTTCTAGCTCTCAACACAGCAAATCAGCCACCAGGCCTGCGAGTACCCAGTGCTCCATCTTGTTTGGAAATAGGTGATCCAAGACTAAAGTAGGATGGTTTGGATAATGGCATGGACAGATGAGTTTTCTTCCTTGGTTCCTACCCTCACTTCTAAGAAGCAACTGCTCCCCCCAGACACATACCACACACACACACACACACACACATTGTGTATGTGCACCCCTTAACAGGGTGCGAACATGGCTGAAGGCGGTGGTCTTAGCGAGTCACCCCCAGCCCGGTGCCCAGCAGAATGGAGGAAGAGAGTCAGGGCCCAGTGAAGAGGGTGTGGGCAGCCCCAGAGCTGGAGCTGTGGGTTCAGGGCTTAGCTGAGGAT